CTGGTATATTACATGGAGTGATGTCACTTTAATTGTAATTAGATAAAACCATTCTTACATTTCTTTTATTCTGTTTTTAAGTATACTTCTGTTTTTGAAATGTACTGTACATTTGAAGTGCAGCCAATGCTAACAAATAATCCCTGAATGTATACTTTATCAAATTTATTCAAATTATTATGATTTTTCATTGGCAAACGAAAATGAACACTTTAATAATTGTTATCACAACTGTGAATAAAATACAACCTCTACTGGGAAGGATTGTGTGAATTCTGGCTTCTTTCAAACAGTTTTTATTTTCATTATTTTTTAGTGAGAAACATATGATTCTCACCTACACTTGTTTGTGTTCATGTTGCCCTGTATTCTGTGGCTTTGGTTTGGAGTATATTTTGATGATTTTGACTTTTGACACGCCCCCACCTATACCATCAGTGCCATGTAAAGGCATGACATATATCTTGTTATATTCTATGCTCAATAAAAATATTATTATTGAGAGTGTAAAATCAAACAAAATACTCTGTCATCATCATTTTAAATCACTTAGTTTGATCATTTGCATTTGAAGCTGCTAATGACGTCATTTTGACCACAAAAATGAAGAATAAATAAAGATGGCACCATTGAATATACATTGTGTGGAAACGATAAATTATTTGTATTGACCTTGGAAAATAATTATTAAATCCCAGTTAGGTTTAGAGATGTACATAAACATAGTAACTATGGTACAAGTAGATATTAGTAGAGAAATGATGAATTTGCATAGTTACTGTGTGTGGAATTATTGTAATGAGGGTTGTTGGGGTAGGTGTAGTGCATCAAAAGCCAAAACCGAACCAAAGCCAGGAAATCCAGAGCTAATATTAATGTAGAAACACAATTATTAATCAATTAGTGTACTGAATCCTCATTGGCAGAACTGTTGAGAATGATATCATCCCTGTATTATGTTTACAATACACTATTATTTTATTGTATGTTGAACATACATTACTGTATTGTATACAGAAAATACAATCACATCACTGTATTGCATTGTGAGAATATTTTACTGTATTGCATTGTGAGAATAAGTTACTGTATGGCATGGGGAGAATACATTACTGTATGGCATACATTAGTGTATTGTATGGTAAAAATACATTAGTGTATTGTATGGTGAGAATATGTTACTGCATTATATGGTGTGAATATGTTACTGTATTGTGTGGTAAGAATATTAGTGTATTGTATGGTGAGAATAAGTTACTGTATTGTATGGTCAGAATATGTTACTGTATTGTATTGTGAGAATACATTAGTGTATTGTATGGTGAAAATACATTTGTGTATTGTATGGTGAGAATACATTACTGTAATGCATGGTAAGAATACATTAGTGTATTGTATGGTAAGAATACGTTACTGTATTGTATGGTCAGAATATGTTACTGTATTGTATGGTGAGAATACGTTACTGTATTGTATGGTCAGAATATGTTACTGTATTTTATTGTGAGAATACATTAGTGTATTGTATGGTGAAAATACATTAGTGTATTGTATGGTGAGAATACATTACTGTAATGCATGGTAAGAATACATTAGTGTATTGTATGGTAAGAATACATTAGTGTATTGTATGGTAAGAATACATTAGTGTATTGTATGGTAAGAATACATTAGTGTATTGTATGGTAAGAATACATTATGTATTGTATGGTAAGAATATGTTACTGTATTGTATGGTCAGAATATGTTACTGTATTTTATTGTGAGAATACATTAGTGTATTGTATGGTGAAAATACATTAGTGTATTGTATGGTGAAAATACATTACTGTAATGCAGGTAAGAATACATTAGTGTATTGTATGGTAAGAATACATTAGTGTATTGTATGGTAAGAATACATTAGTGTATTGTATGGTGAGAATACATTACTGTATTGCATGGTGAGAATTTGTTACTGTATTTTATGGTGAGAATACATTACTATATTGTATGGTGAAAGTACATTACTGTATTGTAAGGTGAGAATACGTTACTGTATTATAAGGTGAGAATTCATTACTGTATTATAAGGTGAGAATTCATTACTGTATTGTAAGGTGAGAATACATTACTGTATTGTAAGGTGAGAATACATTACTGTATTGTAAGGTGAGAATACATTACTGTATTGTATGGTGAGAATACGTTAGTGTATTGTATGGTAAGAACATGTTACTGTATTGTATGGTGAGAAAACATTACTGTATTTTAAGGTGAAAATACATTTCTGTATTGTAAGGTGAGAATACATTACTGTATTGTGTATTGAGAATATGTTACTTGTATTGTATTGTATTGTATTGTATTGTATTGTATTGTATTGTATTGTATTGTAAGAATAGTTATTGTATTGTATGATAGAAATACATTCTCACTGGTTGATTTCTTTCCTTACTAACAGCAGTGTGAATGTAAACTATTCAATCCTTCCCTGTACTGCCCATGGTCATGTCATGGGGTTAGAATGTGTACTCTCTTGTACTGGATTGATTCAACTTTAGCATGATAATTTCTTCCTTTAATTCTTTCCTTTAATCTAGAATTATCCTCTGGTGATGACATACCTTTTGCTTTAGAACATTTACCAGGTCAGTTTATAATTGCACATTTTATTCTTGGTTTCTCTGTGTTGTCTAGGCATGAATTGAAATCTGTGGTGGCCTCTTGATTGCACAGTGTTTAATGACTTCACACTATTTTATTGCAATGTTGAGTGGTTTATTTATTTCACTGGTATAGCTTTACTGTCTGTAAATCAGTTGTAAATAAATTCTGATATTTGTTATTGGGGTAAAAAGTGGCACTATAGTACTGTATTCATCAGACAAACAAAATATACAAACTATTTTATAAGGAGGCTGTTTGCAAAGCTAGCTAAATTATATATTCGAAATATGCAAATTAAGTAATAATGACCCAACTATATTTGTAAAATTATGCAAATATTTTTTTCAAACTAATAATTTGCCATGATATACAATGTATCGGTATTTCTTACAGACATTGAATAGTCATTGATATACAGTGTATCATTTAGTACATGCTGTGTGGGAATTATGTCAGGGATGGGCATGTTCCAATTTTTAAGTTGAAGAAGCTACTATAAAACAGAGATAGTTTCTGACAATATCTAAATTTTAAAATCATAGCCAATTGATACTGAGAGAGTTTGGAAACAAGTTATACAAGGAGTGAATACAAGGTGTGAATTATTGGTGGTTGACACAGCTTGAAATAACAGAATTGGAATCAAATAACATCTGGTTTCAATCGTGTCTATTTGGTGCACTATTTGGTTCTCTCTGTAAAAGCTTAGAAAATATAGACATTTAATTTAATGGAAACATGTTTGAGTGGAAAACCAATAAAAACTTATTTTGACCTTGAAATTATTTCATTTTAACATACATGTTGATGTTTTATAATTCCTACAAAAATATTTGCATGTTGACTTCAAACCAAATTTGAACTGTATCATGTACATAGTTGCCATGGTATTTTGGATTATGCACAATGACATCTTTCTTTGATGATTATCTCCCCAGACATGATGTCTGTTCTGAATGACTTCAAGTCAACTTGATAAACAGTTTCAGTAAAGCTAAACTCATTTGTTTCTCAAGAAGTTAAGATAACTATAATTTCTCTTGTAATGTTTTTGTTTTAATGCAGGAATGCACTATTCTGTTTTATGTCTTCAATTTAACTTGCATTTGTTAGTTTTATAAATGTGACATTTTGCAGTAGAATTCCCACATTTACTTACCATGATCACCTGTTGCACAGACCAGACACACTATTTGCCCAAGTGGCTCACCAGTAACTGGTGGGATTTCACATTTCATGGCTTTTACCATGACCACCTGTTGCACAGACCATACACACTACTTGCCCAAGTGGCTCACTAGTAACTTGTGGGATTTCACATTTCATGGCTTTTACCATGACCACCTGTTGCACAGACCAGACACACTACTTGCCCAAGTGGCTCACCAGTAACTGGTGGGATTTCACATTTCATGGCTTTTACCATGACCACCTTTTGCACAGACCAGACACACTACTTGCCCAAGTGGCTCACTAGTAACTGGTGGGATTTCACATTTCATGGCTTTTACCATGATCACCTGTTGCACAGACCAGACACACTACCTGCCCTTATGACTCATCAGTAACTGGTTGGATTTCACATTTCATGGCTTTTACCGTGACCACCTGTTCCACAGATCAGACACACTACTTACCCAAATGGCTCACCAGTAACTGGTGGGATTTCACATTTCATGGCTTTTACCATGACCAGCTGTTGCACAGACCAGACACACTATTTGCCCAAATGGCTCACAAGTAACTGGTTGGATTTCACATTTCATGGCTTTTACCATGACCACCTGTTGCACAGACCAGACACACTACTTGCCCAAGTGGCTCACCAGTAACTGGTGGGATTTCATATTTCATGGCCATTACCATGACCACCTGTTGCACAGACCAGACACACTATTTGCCCAAATGGCTCACAAGTAACTGGTTGGATTTCACATTTCATGGCTTTTACCATGACCACCTGTTGCACAGACCAGACACACTATTTGCCCAAATGGCTCACAAGTAACTGGTGGGATTTCACATTTCATGGCCATTACCATG